GGGACTACAAGCACCTCAAGGACATAAGACAAAAATACTATCCTTGTCAATCATTGAAGAATAAAAAGCAGAAGACTTGTATTACACATGTATACATGATAATTTTGGTCTGTAACCTGTTGTTAATAGCATAAATGGAGTCTCAGTAAACATTTATGGAGCATTGACAATATTCTTAAACATAATTAAGGGCAATGACTTCAGGCAATGCTCAGAAATTATTGTAATTGTATAGATTTATTTGTTGAATGGTTTGAGGAGTGGATACAGTGTATTTGCTGTTAAGACATACATAAGACTATAAACTGGGCAAGGGCCGTAATCAACAAAAATTACACTATTATGAAGAATGCATAGAAACTTCCATCACATTGGTGGAATACGTTTGTTACTCTATCGAACAGAGAGCGCTAGCTTAAATTATTAAAGTATGTTAGTCTGGAGGCTCAGTGTGTGTGGGGGGGGGGGGTTCCATCAAATAGGTACAAAACCAGACCCAACTTTTTCAGAGTAAAATTTTGCGTAGGATACGATGCCGAGTGGTAATCAGTCCGCCGTTTGCAATGAAAGCGAATGCGAAGCCATTCTTGTATCATGAAAATGATCGAAAGTAATCAACCTTTCAATAAAAATGTAAACTTGCTAAATTCACCTTTGTTCTTTGTGACCCCAGAGGTCAAAAGGTCAAATTTTCCGTTTTTGCACTAGGAAGATTTGAAGCAATAAATGCCACCGTAAAATATAAAAACTAAAGCGAAACGTGTTCTAATAAATAATAGGAACATTTAAAATGTATCTTTAGGTGGTATTAACACCGAACTTTTACTTTGGAACGATGAAAAAAAGATCTTGCATAACAGAACCAAAACACTTCGAAACCCGTTTCAAAAATACATAAAAACTGTCAAATCAAAATCTCTCCGATTTTGTTTAACAACGATTGTTATACATATTGAAACTAGTTGTCCGACAAACAGTTTATCTTTTACTTTGGAACGTCGAAAAAGGTCTTGAATAACAGAACCAAAACACTTCGAAACCTAATCCTTGAGTGGCACTTAGTGATTGAGCTCATTAAAAAACACAACACAATTTATATGGAATACAATCACTTGTTTATACACATATAGCACGACGATTCGACAAGTATTCTCTTATCGTTATTAAGTATAAATGATGAAACCTGTTTCAAAAATACGTAAAAACTGTCAAATCAAAATCTCTCCGATTTAGTTTCACAACAATTGCTATACATAATGAAACTATAGTTGTCTGAAAAAAAACAATTAAATAGTTTCATGACTGGACTGCTAAGACGATCTAAAGATAAGTTCTAAATGTTCATACTATTAATTAGAACATGTTTGGCTTTAGTTTTTATATTTTACGCAGACATTTTATTGCTTTAAACCTTCCTAGTGCAAAAACGGAAAATTTGACATTTTGACCTCCGGATTCACTAAGAACAAAGGTGAATTTTAGAGAGTTTACATTTTTATTGAAAGAGTGATTACTTTCGATCATTTTCAGCATATTTTCATGATACAAGAATAGCTGCACACTCACTTTCAATGCAAATGGCCTCATTTGACCTTTGACCCCGAATATCTCGAAAACGCCCCAACGACGGACTGATTACCACTCGGCATCGTATTCTACGCAAAATTTTACTATAGAAATGTTGAGTTTTGTTTTGTGCCCATTTGATGGACCCCCCCCCCCCCGATACTTTTCAGTTATAGAAGAAAAAGCGACAACGCATTTATAAACCGAACGTCGCATCGTCTTGATTAGGATATTACAAATATTTGAAGGACACCCCCTGGCATTGAGCCTCCGGTCTATGTAGTTTGTTTCTTTACACACATATAATAATTGTAGCGATCAATTTGTTCTAGACGTTGCTTGCTTGACGATTTTACCTTTCATTAAATACCCAGAGCATTGAAGGCAACGGTGCCGATCCATAACACAAGTAGCTAGGTGTGTATTTCCAAGTGTCACATTGGACCATTTGACATGTGACATTACACAATATGTTATAATATCTAAAAAATTAACCAATTTTACTGTTTGAGTATCAACAATCAAACCAAGCAAAAATCTCATTATTTAGGTAAATAATGCTTCTATCTGTCTTAACATTTTTAATTTAATCATATTATATGGCACATCTGAAGTCGCAAGAACAATGTTTGGCACACTAAGGCAAACGGTAGGCCACCCCTGATCTGAGGCAACGAATACCAAAAGGCGCTGTGGTTCACGAAGGCTAAAATGTTATGATGCATTTCACGACCTTATATTCCAGACTATATAAAGGTCACATCAGTAATAATATTAATAATAACACGCCAGCGATGAGATTGACACATACTAATTAACTGCATATTTATCTTTTTGAACAGAATCGAGCAATCAAACTGATTATCTATTTTCAGTCTAAGCAGAAAATGTTTACGATCGAGCTCAGTCAAGGTTTTGATGTACCTGGTAGTGAAACTATACACCAAGTTTCATCACCCTGCCTTGGTTAGAATGAAAGTTATCTTGTCCCAAAGCATCGGCCAATGAAATTGCTTAGCTTTGCTTGGCTTTAGCGGATAGTGTTAATCATTGAGCTAAGTCAAGACATTCAACTAATGAACAACTACAAGTATAAACATTCTACCGCTATTAATACCAGAATTATGTTCCAAAGTCTAGTCCAGTCAAGAGATTCAACAGGATATTCTCATTATCGAACTGAGTCATGGTGTTGGTATAATGCATCTATACTCTGGGATTTCATCACTGTCTCCCAATTAGAACCAAAGTTATCGTGTTCCACAGTCTCGAGCAATCAAATTGCCTAATAAACACCTACACCAAGTTTGAACATTCTACCTCAATTCGGAGAGTTATTGTGTTTCAAAATCTCGTCGAATCAGATTGCAATATCGACTTAATCTAAGCAGAAAATAAATGCTCATGATCGAACTTAGTCAGGGTATTGATGTAATGAAACTAAACGCGAAGTTTCACCACTCTCACTCAATTAGAATCCAAGTTATGGAGCTCCGAAGACTGACTCGACCAATTAAAATTGCTTATCGTTATGCTTGCACTGGACATAAAATGCCTATTATCGAACTTAGTCAAGGTATTGATGTAATGAAACTGTACACCAAGTTTCACTTAATTAGAACCCAAGTTATCGTGCCCTAAACCGTCAACCAATCAAATTGCTTAGTTCTACTTACCCAAAGCAGACAATGCTCGTCTTCGAACTCGATCAAGCATTCACACCTACACCAAGAGAGTTATTGTGTCCAAAAACAGTGACAGACAGACAAGACAGACCAATTTTAATAGTTCCCTGATTTCTTTGAAAGACGAGGGACAATAATGTGAACATTTGTATAGCGCTGTTCTACGCTGGCTGTTTGCTCGTAGCGCATACAAAGAGTTTGTTCTCTAAAATTCAAGCAATACTAAACATAGCATCGGAAGGCGTCGGTGATGGTTTGAAAGTTGACAGGGTTGGGCACTGGTTCAAATATGTGAAGCTGCAAAATATGAAAATGATTTTGCTTCAACAGTTTTTAAATTGGTAACTGTAGCTGAAAGTTATTTTTTGATCTAAGGTTCATAGAGGGTACACGTTACTGGACTGGTTCCTGGAGGTACCATTTTGTGAACTGTCTGATATGTTAAACCCAGTAATACGTCCATTGGTACGAAGCCAATGAAGAGAGGATAAAACCGTGATATATGGTCGCGAATGTAAATTTTTTATCCTTTGAAGTCGATTTCGTTATTCCAGATAGTAGACGGTTGCAGTTGTCTAGACGAAAAAGAATAAGACATCTGCTGTTATTCGAGTATTAATACCAGACAGAAAAGTAATGGCAAACAGCCTTATCGAAAAGTTTAATGCTCTTCTTTTCTGATTATAAATCAATTGGTTAGGATTTTAGATACTGAAGCCGATAACAAATTTCTGGTCACAAGCTTTATACCTGTATTGTGATTAGAGCACTACTCCAGAAGTAAATAACAATGGATTCAAATAATTTGTATTCGTTTATATTAGGTATTCACAATGTAATACCGTTCGAATGTTGCATTGGGATTGCTAGAGTTAGAAGTGAAATGGGGTTTATCGTCGTACTATTGTGCACCAAGTGGGCTAATGAAGGCGGGTATATATACTATAAGGGAAATACGTGTAATCACCTTTTGCCTGTTTTTGACGAAAGGTTTAATCAATATAAACATTAAAGTATAATGACTTTGATATCTTGTCAGTCGTGCTGGACAACGTAAATTCGTCGCGTGTACCTTAACGAACCATTGACCGTTGGAATTCGAAATACGAGTAGGCCGTAGGGCCCGTAGGGCCGCTGTCCGAGGAAAATTTACTCATGCCACACCACATGACGTATGCCTGACTTCATTACCTTGTCGGAGCAGAACACATTCTTTGGATGTCATATAGTAATTGGAACAGTACTGTGGATAACAGAACAGTAGGACGTTAAACCCCATTTGATTTCCTTCTGTTTTAACTTTCAAGTTATTATTCTGGGTGTTATTTTTAGGTTTTTTTTCTGACAATGAGTACTACTAAAACTTTTCTGTCTGACATTGAGTACTACTAAAAGTACTCCAGCGTTTGGGCTGTAAGTTATTTAGGTATCACCAATCGTTGTTGAACAAAATAATGTATATCGTTATATTCTCTATGTCAATTACTGTTTCGTAACCATTATAAGGTTTTCTGTCCCATTATTAATCTCTGACTACACTTAAGGAGGTATCTGCTGCATCATGGATGTAATATGTACTAACGGATACGACATAATCCTACTTTTTACAGCTATCGTGTTTTTATGGACTGGATAATCCAATCAATTTCCGAATACACATATAGGCGTTGGAAATGTCGTACGACTGCCTTCAAATATCAAAACACGACGCCTGAGGTTGAGGATATGATTTTAGTTGAGAAGGACCATTTACATTGGAATAGCTTCTATTCTGCCAGAACTTCCGGTTTCAGAAATCGGACTTCTCATTCGATGTTTGAGTTTTAAAAAGAGTTTCCTTCTAACAACTGGGTGACTTAAAGAATACAAAATAGGATTAGTCACTGTAGACATTTTAGCCACCAACTGCGGTACCACAGATAATTGAGGTGTTAGCAGGGATTGGTTACCGAACTGACCAATCATAGCAATGATGACGTATGGCACCCACGAAATGCAAAATACACCAACTGTTATGAGCAAGGTTATGGCTGTTTTTCTTTCACCTCGAAATCGTCTTTGACTGGAAAATCTGCCTTTACATATAACAACAGAAGTATGGTAGGATTTCATTTCCTGTCTGTGTGACGATATTAAACGTAGTATTTTGGAATAGGCGAAGATAATAAAACACAGAGGAAGAGCAAAATTAAACAAGGCAATTGAGAGAATAAACGACCGGTTCTTCCAATTCCGGGATAAATAGTCAAATGTACACGTAGTTCTTGATCCGTCCAATTGGTATTGACTCCATCCTAGCACCGGAGCCAGTGACCATAACAATGAATATAACCACACAAACACTGAATAAGCAACGATAGTACTTTTTGATCTTGGAAAGTTGGGATTATTATATTTTGTCACTGATGTAAACCTGTCGATAGCTATGGCGGAATAACTGTTGATTATCAATAACCCAGCTGTACCGGTAATCGTTGCGTACGTCTGACACACTACAAAGAAAAATGAGAATCTATATATTATTGGTATACGCAAAATATATTTTTAAGAATCCACAACATTTCAAATACTCGTCGTATAGAATTAGACAAGCAAACAGATATTGTCTAGAACATCGGATATAACAGGTCTCCGGTGGAACCTTTCATTATGATTAAATTCTGAAAAAAAACTTTTATTGACATAACCAGTCAGCTAAGCTAGTGAAAGAGACTATTGTCCTTATTTACGAAAAGCAGAGGCAGCAAAGGCTTGCAGTCAGTAATAAAAACAAACCAAACTCATTATATCAACGACAACTGGGCGGTAAATGCAACGGCTGCGCAAACGGTAGTCCGTATTGTATTATGGTGATATGAAAACAATGGGATTGGACTCCGAACCTCCTGATCACTGAGTCACGCTTGAACAGACGAAGGTGGAATCAACCTGAACATTGACTCTAGATTCTGTGAACCATTCGCCCGTCTTATTAGTTAGACAATCGAGTCTACAACGTTCATTTGGCCACAGATCACTAAACATTTGCCCATTGACTTTAATGTTAATTCTCGTCTCTTAGACCGGCTCTAACTTTTTCCCAAATTTTCGTTGGGTAGAACACTTTCTACCACAGATGGAGCAACATGTGGCAACCTCTTGCCCAAAAGCACGTATGAGGTTCACCATGGAAAACTTGAGATACACAAGAAAACATGCAATTTTGGACCCTACATTTCAACCTAACCAACCTCTCAACTCTTGTATCCTTCCGCCTCAAAATCATGAATATTCACCAAAACCTGGTAGAAAATGTATTTTCAAACCCTTTTCTTCGATTCTGCACCAAAAAGTCAACAAAAATCGCCATTCAAAAGTGGGAAAAAGGGAAAGGGAGAGAAAGACTAAAAATAACTTTTGCCCTACATGAGCTGTGTCCATTTAAATATGTTAGACTCGATTGTTATGGGTTATCCCTAAACTGACTGAATGATAAATGATTGAATTGGGGTTTAAGGTCCTACTAATGGAGCGTATAAAAAGCATATGTCATATGGACGATTTCATTTCAATATCATGATTAAAGAACTTCAGTCCAATACATGTAAGAATGTAACTATATTAAGAAATTGATTACCGTCGCTGCTTATGCAGATGCCAGTTCAATCTGGCATGCAGTGAATACCCACGGTACGGTCAGAACAAAAATACATTAGATAAATTATCGAATTGGTCCAATGACTGGGTATTTAGAGTTACGCTCTCCTGTAGATATTATAGGGAAGTGTCAACTCTGAAACTGGAAGCAAATAATGTCTGAATTGAATTCGAAGGAAAGGGGGCAGAATTTTCTGAATGTAATGATGTGACTGACAGGCATATCATTGAGAGCAAATAAACTACTCTGCTAATGATAGATAGGTCAATGATAAGATCAATATGCGGCTATGGCTGTGTGTAACACGATTATATTAGTGAAAACAGGGCTCAGTTTCGTACATATACGGTTTATTTATATATGGAACAGAATATAAAACAGCTACATAAATTAAACAGGAACTGAACTACACCAGGGACACAGGGTATCGCTGTCGATGCTCTGCTACTAAGTCTTTTCGATTGATTATATGTAAAAAAAAATATATGTATAAAGCCCTAATACTGGAAATGATAAAGTCAAAATACCTCTAAAGCCAAAGTTAAATGTAAAACGTCAAATGTAAGGTGTCAAATGACAAATGTTTATTGGAAAATGCATTTTACTTTTCTCTCATTACATTTGCGCTCTGCCGGATCTCATTTGTCCTTCACGTTCCACATAGCATCTTACGCACAGCACTATCTTTGATATTATGTAAATGTAGGATATCACGTGACTTAACATATACGGAAACGACGCCGAGATCAACCGGACACAGTTTAGGCCAGCATACTATAAGAAATGAAATAAAATGGGAGTTTAACGTCCTACTGTTCTGCTCCGACTGGGCTAATGAATAAGGGCATACGCCATACAGTGTGCTGTGAGGGATATTTTGCCCGGACAGCGGCGCTACAGCCTACTATTATATCGAATTCCAACTGCTAATGGATCTTTAACGTGTACACAGGACATCGGTTTTCCCTTCCATCCGCACGACTAAGGTTTCCATTGCCAGGCCCTCGGTCCTGCACTACTGACAAGGAGGAACCACGCAGGAAAATCCCCATAAACTTTCTCGGCCACAACAGGGATCAAAAACAGGATCATCAGGTTAGCGAGCCAACATCGTACCCACTGAGCCATCGACAAAACAACTAGAATTTGTCTTCCAGTTATGTGTAGGATAACTGGAATTTGGTATTAAGACTTGTAATTTGGCATTTTAAAACACTCGCCCCCCCCCCCCCGTCTCTATCTCTCTCTCTAAATAGAGTTGAATGCAAGCTAATTAACTTTGATCTATTTCAAATAAAAGTATATATGCATGTGCCCAACAAATAATGAATATACTTAAAGAGAGGACTATACATTTCTTAGTATAGATAAATGGAATTCTGGATTAAGCACATCTTTAGTTCCCCCCAACCCCTTTAATCTTTTCATTTACAAGTTATGAAAATATGAATGTGCGAGAACATTATTTGAAAAGAGCAATGAACGTACCGTTCATTTAAAGGTATTATAATATTTAGACTTTCGCATTAAGACCCGTATGTTAACATTGAATACCCCCACCCCTCATCTTCGTAATCATAGTAATAGAGTTTAGTACCATCCAAATTTGATCGTTTGTCAAGGTTAAAATGCACTATGCAAGAGGTAAATCTACCCACTGTAAGTCTTTCTTTATATAAACTATTAATTAGACATTTATTAACATGAAAAGACCATAACCAACTCTCGATGCCATCTCATTGGATTTGAATCCGATTTGTTGTTCAATGCCCATTGATGATTAACCGCAAAAATGGATAATTGAGACTTTGATAATTATCGTGACAGCGGCAACAATGACAATCGAGGCATCGATTTTAAAATAAGGTTTCCTTGGCTTAGAATAAAGCTATTTGACTGAAATTTTCAGCATTTAACTATTACAGTGAGAACTGTCAGCTCTTGAATCTTCCGTAATGTATCTCATATAGTGTGCCAGGTTGATTTCCTCTTATCGTGTGGTGAATATCCTTATAGTGTGCCAGGTTGATCCTGGCGTCGTTTCCGTTTATGTTAATAAGTCACGTGATATCCTATATTTGCATATCAAAGACAGTGCTGTGCATAGGGTGTTATGCAGATAGCGTGAAGGACAAATGAGATTCGGCAGAGAGCAAATGTAAAATGTAATGAGTGAAATGTAAAATTTTGACACGTCAAAAAATAGTATTTTCCAATAAAAAAATTTGTCATTTGACACATTACATTTGACGTTTTACATTTAAGTTTGGCCTTTGAGATATTTTGACCTTATCATTGCCGGTATTTGTACATTGTACTGTTTAGATATAATCAATCGAAAAGACATATTAGCAGAGCATTGACAGCGATACCCTTCCATGTCTATTGCAGGAAGTAGGTGATATGCCATTCGAATTGAGGCGCAATGACCTGACATTGAGATACTGGACTAAGATACAATGTCTTGGGGAGAGTTGTCAAACATTTAAGTGCACAAAATCACCAAGGAAAAATTTAACAGAAATGTTAAATCGGAGACTCAACTTTCCTTTCGGCCACAGAGCAATTAATGATTCATAAAAAATATCTAAGATTAGATCACTATCAGATCACTGACAAGTTATTTTCTTATCGATCTCCATAGATTTTATTAAATCCAAACCATGATAGAAGCCTAAGTAATGTTGTTCAAAAGAAAGAAAATCCATAATACGCTCCAATACTATCGATGGAATTCTTGAGCGATAACGTGAAGCATGTAAAAATGTACACATGGACAGGTCTCCTGATCCAAACACGAACAAAACTGCACCAGGTGTTAACATTCATGAATTTTATGTTAAAGATCGTATAGCTCTAATCTTTGGAACCTTAAAATAGACGAACATGGATCTAAAAGCACGTAATATGAGTGTACATAATTCTGGGTTATGTTTTCTTTTTTCATTTCATATGGCACCCGCGGCTATTTTATCCGTAGACTAGAATACACGATTCGTGTAGTGATTTTAAAATGTTCACCATGTCTTAAATAGTTAATTTGAAAATCCGATATTTTCTTAGTAAGATAACAACAATATTGATTGAAATGGACCAAAATTGAATTCTAATTCGTCTTTTTAATTTCGAATTTTATGGATATTATTGATTTAGATGTATAGATCCTTTAAAATACAAAAAAAAAATTACCAGGTGGATATTCCATCTATGCATCAGATGTAAAGGCAATATCCACATCTCTTGACTGGCTTTTGTCGTCTACCATTCAACGAGCTGTACTTGTGTCACTCCCTTAGCAGAAATGAACGGAAATAAAATAGGGTTTAACGTCCTACTGTTCTGCTCCGACTGGGCTAATAAAGACAGGTACACTCCCTTAGCAGCATGAATTCAATAATACACGACAATACAACATCTAAACCAAAAATTGTTCAGAATATTCGGGCAAGTCCCTTCGAAATAAAAATAAAACCGGTATAGTAGGAAATGAGTTAGCGGACAATCTTGCTCGCAACCGACTCAACCTCTGCGAGACCTGCGTCCAGGAATTTAATAGTATTGATAAAACTAAAATTAAATCAGAAGGGAAAAATTGGTGGGTTAATCAAAAGAATAGGAACAGAACATTTTTAAAATAACGAATCACTATCAACCCGTTTAGCTCGAATGCGGTCACAATTTAACAGTTAGTTGGTCATGTCAGAA